ACATCTTAAAATCTCTATGTGCCTCATTGAGCTGCAGTTATGTCATGGCGTAAGTATTTTATTACTTCACACATTAGTAATGAGTAATGCAGGTACAGAAAGGCTGCACAAAATTGCTGAACCATAAGAATTTTCCACAAAATTGCTTCTGAAGCTGTTTTGGTTTGCATCCAATTCAATAAGTTTGGCACTTTGGAGAATGTCCACAAGTGGCCTAGGCACTGAAAATGGCAGTGTCAGGAGCGCTGCTTTGGATGAAGTGGATCCACAGCACACACTCATGTGCATGCTGTGCTGTCACTGGCCTCAGGAGATCAGAGAAACACAGTTGCAAGCATTTGGAAAACTCTGAGTCCTGGTAGTTGTCAATGCATCATGGTTTCCCACTTGACAAGTGCTTTTGGACACTTTCTGTGTGATCCTCCAGACAGCCCAGAGTGAAGAAAGGATTCCTTTCAACAGATGGGAGCATGGAAACCCAGGCAGGACATCAGTCTAGAGTCCTCCTTCTAGATAAGAACTGTGCCATCTTGACTGTCTCATGGATGACGTGGTACTGACTCTGTGTCCTTGCCTCCATGGGTACTCTGAATCTATATATTTCAGTTACAAGGTTGTAACAAATCAGTGTGATCCACAAAAGACCTCAGATTCCCTGTGGTTTTCATGGCACGACGTCACTGAAGATCATCATCCCTGGCTCCCTCAGACTGAACTCCACATATCCTGGAGGTGACACTTCTGTGCTGGCATTAGCACCAGCGCTTTTGTTAACTGTGGCCCTACACAGATTTGGCCCCTGAAGCTTTTGTGCTAAGAAAAGTTACTAGGTTAGAAACCCAGGAGTAATTTGAGGTGTCATACTGTTCATTTACTTTCTGTTCCTTTTTTCCTAAAGATACTAGTTTGTCATATCTTCAACCTTTTCTGGAAATGAGCACTATCAGTGAAATGTCATGTAGTAAGAAAGGCTTGGAGTTAGAAGTTCAAGATTTGTTCTTATATGAGCAGCCAATAAAAAAAACTTCCTGGATCTAGCAGGGTCACTTTCAAGGACAGTGGTCCCAGCTGTTAGTGGTGCTACTGGGAGGTGGTAGAAACTTTAAGAAGTGTGGCCTAGTTGGAGGTGGGTTAGCTCAGGCTGCTCTAACAGAATAGCACAGTTCTGGAGACCGAAAAGTCTAAGATCAAGGTGCTGGTAGGATTGCAGTTCTGTTGAGGTCGCCCTTCTTGGCTCACAGACATGCTTTGTCCTCACACAGCCTTTCCTCTGAGCCAGTGCATGGGAGGCCAGCCCTGAAGACCTCGTTTACCTTAATTGCTTTCTTTGAGGCCCTGTGTTAACTTTCCGTTGCTATGATAAAATACCTGAGAAATCAAGTTAAAGGAAGAAAGATTAATCAGGCATGATGGTGCATACCTATAATCCCAGCACTCAGGAGGATGGGAAGTTCTAGGCCAACCTGGGCTTTATAGCCCAGGTTTTGTTTTGTTTACCAAAAAAACAGGTGCTGGTAGCTCATGCTTGTAATCTTAGCTACTCAGGAGGCAGAGATCAGGAGGATTGCAGTTCAAGGCCAGCCCAGGCAAATAATTCTTGAGACCCTAGCTCAAAAAAACCCATCACATAAATGGGCTGGTGGAGTGGCTGAAGGTGTAGGCCCTGAGTTCAAACCCCAGTACCACAAAAAAAAAAAAAAAAAAAGGAGAAGGAAGGTTTAAAAAGCCTCACAGTTCCAGAGACTTCAGTCTTGATCACTTGGCGTCATTGTGTCTGGGCCATTATGAGGCAGAACATTGTGGCAAGAGCAGCCAAGCTGCTCACCTAATGGTGGCCAGGAAATAACAAGAAAGAGAGAGAGGATCCAGAGAGAAAACATACCCTTCAAAGGCACATGCTAGGGACCCATCTCTCTCACCATCTCCCAGTAGCACCACCAGCTGGGGACCAACCATTGAACACATGAGCCTTTTGGGGACATTTCAGTTGCAGACCATACATAACAGACCCCATTTCCAAATATGGCCACAGCAGGAGTTCCAGGAGCATGTAGACTATTACAGGCACTGAAAAGAGGATGTGTGTACTCAGGGCAAGGTGGCATTTGTCACCTAGCATACCCCACCCAGCATTCAGGACCTGGATAGCTGGCTACCTTCACAGTCAGCAGAGTGCAACTGACAGCACTGCAGTGGGCTGCAGCTTGAAGCTGCCATCACTAGCTAAGGAATCCCAACCAACAGGATATTCCAGGCAAGGTTCTACCAGAGAAACAGCAGGAGAGCAGGCAGATGGGAGCTGAGCAATTGGAACCTCCCTCCCTCATGGGGCCTTCACCTGATGGGGTTGGGCCCACCCACATCGGCAAGGGTAATCTCCTTCTCTCAAAATCAGTTGATGGTAGTTGTTCCCCACATGTACACATAACCTTCACAAGCACACGACATCAGTGTCTGCTTGCATAATGGGGCACTCCAGCCTGGCTAAGTTGGCACATGAGACAAACTGTCACACTGGGGTACCTTTTCCTTTGTCAACTATTGCTTTTGACCACAGTCTGTGACAGCACATCTTCCTGCCTCTAAGCAGACCTGGGCAGACTATAACTTATTAGTCATCTCTAGTTTTAGGGTCTGATCTAGCTGAATGTTTTCATCTCAGTCTCTGAATCACATCTGCATCCCTCCCTGAAGGCAACCCCATAAGGAACTTGAGGTGGGGCCCCTCTCACTTCCTCCAAGCAGACAAGAGAGAAGTTGCCTGTTTGTTCCATAACTGCCTGTGGCCTCCACCAGTGTGCAGTCCCTTCCTGTGGGATGCCTGTCCCTTTGGAGCAGTATTAAAGATCCTCCTCCAGAGGGGCAGCTGCCCATTCTATGTGTGAGCCATCTCTCCCTTGCAGTCTCATGGGTGCCCCCACCGCTACTGCACTGCCCTCTGCCTCTGTCTCCTCCCAGGACCACATGTGCTTCTGCTCTCTCCATGCCACGCGGTGCACCCAGGTTGGCACCTGGCTGAACCTGCAGCTCTTCCTGACCAGGCAGCAAGAGTGCCTGTCTCCTTTCTTAGGTAACCCTCAGCTCTAGGTGATTGGGACACCTCCCCCCAACACCTCACCCCATGATTTGGCCTTGAGGAAAAGGACAGCCAGCCCAGATCTAGAGGGCTAAAAACTCAACTCTGACTTTCCTCTGTGTACACTCTCACAGCTCTACAAGGTACTGAGAGCCCGGTGAGGTGGCTGATGGTGACAGAGCAGTTCTGCTGTCCCTATACAAACCTGGGAGGAACTGCTGGCCTGCTCAGGGTGTATGTGGCTTCTCCTTAAGGTTGGGCTCGTCACATCTTGTCTCACACTTGAGCATTGGGAGTGTGGTGCCTGGAGAAACCCTTCCTACCCTGGTCCCCTGTCTGCTGAGGAAGTACCATGTGCACACTCCCGGCTTGCAGAGGAAGGCTGTGGTCCCTAAAGGCAAAAATCACTGGAGATCTGATACCATTGAGAATCAGACTGGCACTGGGGTTTAAGTTTTAGACTTTTTTTTTTCTACTTGTATCTTAGGAACATAACTATTTTACTGAAAGATTTTTAATTGTTTCTGGATTTCCAACCACCTTTTCCTCATTGCATGCACTTTTTCCTTATTGCGTGTCCCTATACTCACTACTACTCTTCAGGTCAGCTCCCCTCTCCAGAGGCAGGACAAACACCAGTGTTCTGGGCTTTTACGGTTAGTGCCATCACAAGACATGTCCAGGTTGGGAGCTGGGTGTCAATGACAGAAAAAAAGAAGAAGAAACAGCTGGGTTTGGTGGTACACACCTGTAATTCCAGCATTCAGGAGGCCAAGGCAGAAGATCATGAGTTTCAGGCCAGCCTGGGCTACATAGGAAGACCTTGTATCTAAATATTATTATTTAATAATAATAATCTATTATTATTATTATAGATAATCTATAAATTATCTGTTTTTTAAATAAATAAACTGGGCTACATAGGAAGACCTTATCAATAGATAGGAAGGAAGGGAGGGAGGGAGGAAAGGACAGAGGGAGGGAAGAAAGGAAGGAAAGAAAGAAAGAATGGGAAAACATTGAGCCTTTGCTGGCCTTGACCAAACCAGGCATCAAAATGGCCAGGTCCCTGGGCACTCTGTGGACAGTTCCTCATGGCTGTCCTGAGCTGGAGTTTACCTCTATGCCAGATGTTTGATTTTGTGCTTTTGAGGGTATGGGACAGGGGCTTTTTAATTACCAATAAGCCAGTCACCAGAGGCCAGTGCTGTAACTGGCAGATGGTGGATTCAAAGATACAGTAAGATTATGGTCATATTGAAACTTAGTGCAAAAAAAAAGTAGGTTATACATTGATGACATAGGACTGGGCTTTCATGTTTATCTTACATTTTGTACAAATCTGAACAGATGAGGAAATTTAACCAGCCAGCCCCTGACACAGCTAGTCTGTCCTTGGACAGTTCTCCATGCTAACGTACAGTCCTTTCTTTAGAAACAATCCCCCAGCCACCCACATGAAGTCGCTCCATCTTGACTGTTGTTTTTCTCATCGTCGTCACAGTGTCATGCTGTCCTGCTTTCTAACTGTTTGGTTCCTTTAATCTCTGCTGTTGCCTTTATCATCTTACCCTTTTCCTACCCGCACTAGAGCATTCTCCTTGCTTTCCCACTTGATGCATATAGTGAGACCTCAGAAGTCATTGCTACCTGCTCAACATCTGTTTATGTCAGTTGTTTGCTGTTAAGAATCAAAAGACTGGTGGTCACCTTGGTGGAAACCTGCTCAAGGGCAGTCTGTTTCCTGCTTTAGTTTTGACCCAGGCTCCCTTCAGAGATCCACACTACTTCTGAATTTTAAGACTATGGACAAGCACTTTATAATGGGAAGCAGGCTATCATTAGAATTACTCAGTGTTTCCTAAAATGTTCTTGGTAATACTTCAAGTGTTCCAGTTGTAATCACGGAATATGTGGCCTTTAGTTTGCAGTTAACATGTTTCGAACCTTGCCACCCTCCTCCAATCCTACGGGAGCAGAATTCGACCCAGAGGAAGATGAGCCAACGTTAGAAGCAGCCTGGCCTCATCTGCAGGTACTGAACTCATTGCGTGGGTGGTGTTCCTGGCCTTGGTAGAACATATGTGTAGCCCAGGGCTTCACTCTCTGATCTAAAAATGTTTTAGCAAAGTGTGTGTAGGGAAGGGGTGGGCGTGTGTGTGGGTGCATGTGCTTTACACAGACTGCAAAGATGTGAAATTGTTGGTATATCTTCAATGGCAATGTCCATTTTGTTGATAACCATTGAATTCCAGCCTAGAGAACTTCCTCAGGTATGCTCCCGGTTCTCAATGGTTGGATTTAACCTGTGCCCCTGCGCCGCCCCCCCCCACCCAGGCTCCTTGCTAACCAATGCCTTTTCCTAATGCATCTGTAGGTTCAAGGTTGCCTGGCTAGGAGGTGCCACAACCTGCATGACCAGAGCCATACCACGCATGCCTGATGCTAGGTGGAGAGGGATTGGTCACATATAAAAGGGAAAGAAAGAGGTGGGAAGCCTGGGAGGGAACCAGACAGTGGAACAGACAGGGAAAGGAGGATGTCTTGGGAGCCATTCTGCCCTCGTGGCGTCAGGTTTCCACACGTAGCTCATGGCAGGCAGTCCTGTCCAGCCCAGGGCATTCACAAAAGGGGGATGACAGTGACTGCAGTTCAGTAGCTCCATGTTTGCCTCCCTCTCACCTGACATCCCAGAGTTTCTGTCTGCTTGGCTCTGCCTCAGTGCTCCAGACACCCATGGGTGATAGGCTGCAAGTTCCATCCCAGACTCTGGTCAGGGGCCAGGTTGTAGCTCCTGAGAGCCATGGGTTCATGACAGTAAATTAAGCACTGGTGACATAGGCCATGGAAACATTTTACATAGGCCATTTAAAGGGTAGTTTGTGGTTCTTACAGACAGTATAATTACCATCACCAGTTATAATTAAGTTAAACCACATATTTCAGCATTGATTCAGTAGTGATATGACTTTTTTAAAATCTAATACTTTGAAGCAAATAATCAACTCAAGGTGTATTTTAATCTCCACTTAGTAAAATTCCATGTTATTTGACTCATTGTTGTTTTTTTTCTCCTAGCTTGTTTATGAATTTTTCTTAAGATTTTTAGAGTCTCCAGATTTCCAGCCCAATATAGCGAAGAAATATATTGATCAGAAGTTTGTATTGCAGGTAAGGCACCAAACTAGCTGAAACTGCAGGAGCCTTAATCTGCAGAGGGGAAGCGCTGGTCACTAAGTGTCTTTTTCTTCTTGAAGCTTTTAGAGCTCTTTGACAGCGAGGATCCTCGGGAGAGAGATTTTCTTAAAACCACCCTTCACAGAATCTATGGGAAGTTCTTAGGCCTGAGAGCATACATCAGAAAACAGATAAATAATATATTTTATAGGTAAGTCCCCATGTGGGTGACAATCATCTTTGCACACAGTGATGTTCACTTTTGACACTTGGTGCCCCACTGTCTTTTTGCCATGGAGCCAAGGATGGTGGAGGGAGGTCAAGCAGCCTGCTAGTCACGTATGGGTGACTGGACCACACTGTCCTCCCCATCATCAGTCCTTACTGCTGCCGTCTTTCTGGTCAACTACCTTCCTCATCCCCAGCCCCTCACCACACATACTGCCTTTGTTTTGGCATCTCCTGAAGCATCCAGGTGCCCTGATGGGGATGGATTGTTTCTGTCCAAACCACCTGTTGCTTCTATCTGTGTATTACCTCCTCCTTCCCAGTGGATCTCAGTGAGAGAGGGAAGAGATTGGAGCAGAGTAATCAACCTTAACCTAGAAAGATCTTTGAACTTAGATGTGAACTTAGGTTTGGGGTCTCTAGCTGGAGAGGAAGCCCTGCCAAGTGCCGTGCCCAGCCCTGGGCCTGCAAGACTGTAGAGTGCAATCTCCCAGAAAAAAATGCTCATAGTGCTTCTAGTGCAGTGTTCACCATGACCCCGACCTCTCACTCCCTCACACTGCCCTCTTCCCACCCGGGTCTCATCTCTCACCAGGCCTTAATGAGTTATTTGTTCATTTTTGCAGTAGTGGGAATTGAACCAGGGCCTCATACTTACTAGGCAAGTACTCTGCCACTTTAGCCACACTCCCAACCCTTTTTTTTGTACTTTGTTTCTGAGATAATCTCTCACTAACTTTGCCTGGGCTGTCAAACTTGAAATCCTCCTGTGTCTACCTTCCAAGTAGCTGGGATTACAGACAGGCATCACCACACTCAGCCTCATTGGTTTTTGAGATCTAACATTTCTCAGTCCAGTGATGTTATATGATTGCTGCTGCTGCTGCCCCCTGCTCTCTGGGTGACAGGTACAGCTTTCCTAGTCTGCATCTGTGCACATTCAGGCTCTGTGTGCTCCAGGGCTTTGTGTCTAGTGTTTATCCCTCTGAGCCATCCTTCTCCATCAGCCCTTCCCTTCCCTCAGCCCTCTAGTCTTCCTGAAAGGTCCCTTCACCAGAAAGCCCACCTGACTTGACATAGCTCTGGTCCCCCGCAAGGGCAGCCTGGGATGGCTGTGATGGCTGTGATGTCATGCACTCAGTACCAGCTTTGTGCACAGCCTCACGGTGGCCCGGAATAGATGTTAATGGAGTTCATGTAGCTTGTATTTGAAAGCTTACTGAGTGAGCAGTTTATGCTATAATTTTTAGCTTTTCAGGTCATCTTACCTCTCTAAGACATCTGACTCCAGGGTGGCACAAGGAATAATAAGTCCTAGTGTTGATGTGACAGCATCCCTCTGTGAAATACGGAAGCAGAAGAGTTTCATGTTTCAGAGCCAGGGCTTGATTGTGCCCAGAGAAGGGGCCCGAAGTGCCAGTCACGGTAGGAGAAGCCAGGTTTGGCTTCTCCTTCCTTAGTCACAGTGACTGAGCAAGAGCAGAGAAGAGGGATGCTGAGAAAGACAGACTGAGAGCAGCAGCCCTCACCGAAGTCTAACACCCATCTTCCTGGTCCTCCCAGCCCAGTGGTTGGGGTTATTTGGACCTAAGTCAGTTCCCTTGTCATTGCCCAATGGCACATTTTGATGTGAGAGCCTCTCACTGTATATGTGGCTTTCCTTTGAACTTCCAAATTCCCTGTGTCCCTTTGTATGATAGACACCAGGGCTGACAGTAGCCCAGCCCTGACTCACCAATTGCAGAGACTGACATTCCCCTAAACGTTGCATCCTTGAATGTTTCTTAATGCCGTGCTTCTTTTCTAACAAGATCATTATTTATCAGGACATAATGTACATACTCAGATAACAGAACAGAACAATTTATTATTTTTTTTTTAATTTTGATTTATTTTTTTTTTTCATTTTTCTTTTATTATTCATATGTGCATACAAGGCTTGGTTTATTTCTCCCCCCTGCCCCCACCCCCTGCCTTACCACCCACTCCACCCCCTCCCGCTGCCCCCCTCAATACCCAGCAGAAACTATTTTGCCCTTATCTCTAATTTTGTTGTAGAGAGAGTATAAGCAATAATAGGAAGGAACAAGGGGTTTTGCTGGTTGAGATAAGGATAGCTATACAGGGCATTGACTCACATTGATTTCCTGTGCGTGGGTGTTACCTTCTAGGTTAATTCTTTTTAATCTAACCTTTTCTCTAGTTCCTGGTCCCCTTTTCCTATTGGCCTCAGTTGCTTTAAGGTATCTGCTTTAGTTTCTCTGCATTAAGGGCAACAAATGCTAGCTAGTTTTTTAGGTGTCTTACCTATCCTCACCCCTCCCTTGTGTGCTCTCGCTTTTATCACGTGCTCATAGTCCAATCCCCTTGTTGTGTTTGCCCTTGATCTAATGTCCACATATGAGGGAGAACATACGATTTTTGGTCTTTTGAGCCAGGCTAACCTCACTCAGAATGATGTTCTCCAATTCCATCCATTTACCAGCGAATGATAACATTTCGTTCTTCTTCATGGCTGCATAAAATTCCATTGTGTATAGATACCACATTTTCTTAATCCATTCGTCAGTGCTGGGGCATCTTGGCTGTTTCCATAACTTGGCTATTGTGAATAGTGCCGCAATAAACATGGATGTGCAGGTGCCTCTGGAGTAACAGTCTTTTGGGTATATCCCCAAGAGTGGTATTGCTGGATCAAATGGTAGATCGATGTCCAGCTTTTTAAGTAGCCTCCAAATTTTTTTCCAGAGTGGTTGTACTAGTCTACATTCCCACCAACAGTGTAAGAGGGTTCCTTTTTCCCCGCATCCTCGCCAACACCAGAACAGAACAATTTAAATTACACTCTTGATCCTGAAATTAACACTCTGCCTACTGTATTTCTTCAATACTAGCAGGTTTTGTTCAGATAGAAGAATAACAAATCTGCTGAACACCCCTTGTTAAAGAAGTAGAAATGTCTCATACTTTAAAGAGCCTTAAGGGCTGGGAGCGTGGTTTAAGTGATAGAGCACTTGCCTATCAAGCACAAGGCCCTTAATTCAGACCCCAATACTGCCGAAAGCAAAATAACCTTCATTACTGAAATACTCAATTTATTCAAAATACTTAAACACAGTTTAGTTCAGTTCTCACTAAAGGGTCATTGATAGAGTGTGGTATTTGTGTGTGTGTGTGTGTGTGTTTCCTTAAGTAATCTTTTCTATAATTATCTTGATATATACAATCAAAGGCAAGCATGTGATTTAGAGTCCTTAATTGGTTTGAGTCTTCATCATCATTTCATGTGAGAAAAAAATCAGAAAGTTCTTAAGCCCATGTTCTCAGTTTATCTAAATTCTATGCAGTATCCTTAATCCAAAAACCTGGACACTACAAAGCCGCAAAGTTTTTGAGCAGCAATTTGAAGCCACAGTGGAAAATTTCACACCTGACCTCACATGACAGGTCACAGTAAAAACACAGGCTAGCCAGGTGTGGTGCCTCAAGCCTAGCTACTCATGAGGTGGAAACAGAGGATCACTGGAGCCCAGGAGTTAGAGAACACCCTGGGGAACACAGCAAGAGCCTGTCTTCAAAAAAATGTTTTTTAATTTAAACCACAGGCACACTAAAAATATTTTACACATTTTCTTCAGGGATGTATAAAAGGTATACATGAAACATAATTGAATTTCAGATTTCAATTTGGGTCACATCCCCAATATTTCTCATACATTTGCAAATACTCTAAATCTGGGGGAGAAGGGGGACATCCCACATCTGGAACACTACTAGTTCCAAGCTTTTGGGGCAGGGAATTCTCATTCTGTACGCAAATCTTGCAAGAAGTTTCACCGGACATACTTGGTTCAACTTATTAAAATGTTGATGCAAAGTTTCTCATTCGAGTCAGTTTGTTAAATGTGAATCGGTGGTACTTTAGGTGACTGTTGGTGCTAGCTTTGGCAAACAGCACTGAAGGTTATGTGGGCAAGGCAGTGGACCCTGCACTTGCTGGACCAACCCATAGCCTCCTGGCTTAAATCACCATCCATTATTCTTCTCAGTTTTGTCGTCCAAACTGGGCTTGACATGGTGTTCTCTAGGGCTGGAACATCTGAAATGTCTTTTCATCATGTCTGGTGGCTCCACTAGGGTGGCTGGCATAGTGGGGGGCTGCTGCACATCTCTGTCCATATGGCCTCTTTGGATGACATATTTGGGTCCTCCAGGCAGTATGACTTCTTACAGGCCATAGCTGCCTCGAAGACGGAAGCAGCAGAAGTTGCCAGTCCTCTTCAAGGTTTGGCCCAGAACTGGTGTGAGTTACTTCTGCCCTTTGTATTATCAAGGCAAATCATAAGGACAGCCTAGCTCCACAGGAGGGAAGTAGATCCCACCTCTTTATGTGATATACAGGACATCTCACACTGGGTGGCATCCATCTTGGAGATGTCTCTGAGCAATAAGTTCCATCCCAGGTTTCAGAGGGCCTAATTCCTTTTCTGGTAGAGTGAGAAACACTCTAGCTTGTTCTAAACAGGTCTGCATAACGTCCTCCCATTTTGTCGTCCTCTGGAAAATAAGATGAATTATCCTCATTTTCTCTTTCTTATACCTACTTCAAATCAGATTAGAATAATTAGAAGTTAAGAATGTGTCAATATGAATGTAGTAATGTTGCTTTGGAAAGCCAGTGGCTTATAGCTGATGGCTGTCCTTACAGCAGTGTGAAAGCAGGCATAGATAGATGATAAGAGGCATTTCCCGCCCCCGAGTCACCGCTGAGCTAGATGGGGTAGAGGTTAGTGATCTGAAGCCACCTGGCTGCACCAGCTACAGGGTTGTAACCTTAGTGGCAGCTCTGCCTGGGCAGGCATTGGAAGTGGCTGGCGGGAAGCAGATATGACAAGGACACTATGCTGTTGTAACCACAAATAGTTTTCACAGTACCATCCCTGCTGCTCTTTCAAGCTACATCCAGTGCTCCTTCATGTTTCTGTGTCCTGCTTCTCAGTGGGTCCTGATGCCTGTCACACTGGGTCTCAGTTTACCTGGGGCCTTCCCTGTCTTCTTAAACCTGACCTTTGTTCTTTGCTCCGTCCATGCCCTATCTTTGTGATCTGTCAGAAACCTGCCTTTGGAGTTCAGGGAATCCTGGCTATTTGGAAATGCAGAAATGTCAAGACCCAGCCCTCAGACACTCTTCACATCTGTGATGTTTGTCCTCCCCACAGAAACAGAGAGCCTGCTTCTACCCCCACCCAGGCTCACCTGGTGTTAGTCTCCACCAACTCGACAGAGTGCTGTGCATGAAGTGAAAAGGGTCAGAAAGACTCCTGCCTCTCAGATGAAGCTTTTCACTTAGAGATAGCTCTGAGTCCAAAGAAAGTCTGTGCAGACTAAAAAATTCTGAAGTTTCATTGTCCCTGCTAGAGATCTTCATGGAGAGAACATTCTCCTATTTCCTGACATGTCCCTGTTCCCTCTCCTTGTCCCCAGTTCATTTAGCAGATGTGTTTTAAGCATCAAACAGATGCCAGACTTGGTCCTAGCACCAGGAACACAGTTACAAGAAGTCCTTGTCTCCATCTGGAGGGAGACAAGCTGACAAAGTGTGGGTTACATGGTTCTGGAGCGCCCATAGAAGCATGTATGGGGACACAGCAGGCAGAGACTGCTCAGAAGAGAACTAGAGGCTGCGGCCAACTGATGCTTCATAAAGATGGTACTTGAAGCAGTGCAGAGGAAGTATAAAGGGATGGCAGTGAGAAGTACGCAACATGGTCCAAGAGGTATTCAGGAAAGAGCTTCTACCCTTTGCAGGCACTAAGAGGCTTTAAAATTGAATAAAACATCTACTTAGGTTGAGATGCACAAAAAATAAGATGGATTAATGCATGGATGTTTGATCCATCAAACAGCAAATTATTAATTGTTGGATCTGGGTGATTGAAATATGGAGAGTTGCCGTAAAATTCTTTCCACTTTTCCAGATACTTGATGTTTTTTAAAATAAAATCCCAAGAAGAAATTTGAACAAGACAAGCTCTCTGCCCTGAAGGCCTTTCCATCTCCAGGGTCTGAGGAGCTTCGTGGGCTGCTAAAGGGCGACGTGGCCAGGGAGCAGCTGCTCCTGTGCAGGTCTTCACAAATGCTTGGCCTCTAGCTTTCCTCCACCAAGCTTTGTTTTCTTGTGCAGAGGATTTTAGTCTTTCCAGTTATTTCAGAATCTAATTCTAATTGACATTATTTTTTCTAGGTTTATTTATGAAACAGAGCATCACAACGGCATAGCAGAATTACTGGAAATCTTGGGAAGGTAAGTTTATGTTACTGGTAGTGAATGGCAGTAGATGAAATTTATGCCAGAGTGATCCAGCTCATGAATACCTCTCTCCCTCCCCTGAGCAAGGCAGTTTACAACATTCTCTAAAAGAATGGAAATAGAATTTCACTTAAGGAGCTCAGAACTGCCAACTTCACTCTTAGATTAGAACACACCAAATGACAGATGTCTCTCACTTTTCCAGTTCTGTAGATAGATCCTTCTTCACACACCTCAGTATCACCACGGAAACGATGGAATTTCAGTTACTTCCTCAAGAGCAGTGTTAAAAATAGTTACATAAGAAGGTTGATATTAGAAGCTCATTAAAAGAATAGATTGTACATTTGGAGTACTAAGTAAATGATAATCATATGTAGCATATGATTTATAGATTTTTCATATGTAATTTAACATTTCAAAATTTTTATCATCTTAATCTGAGTAAAGTTCTTGATTGCTATCATTTTTTCAAAATCAATAATCTATAGAATTTCATATTAGACCTCCTAGCCCATTGTTTCCCAAGAGTTCTTCCAGTTCTGAGGCAATAAGCTTGCCAGTGATTTCCTCCTGTGCCTTGGTGGGGACTCAAGATATCAAGGAGCCCTGCAGCAAAGAAGCCGGGATTCCTGTACTGAATCTGGTGATTCCCTATAGCACTTGAGCACAGGGCCTTTTCTCATGGACACTATTGTCTCATGAGTCTGGTCCTATCTAGGACTTCCAAGAAAAACTGTCCTTGCTGCTTTAATGGAATTTGAAAAGGCATTGGTCCTCGCTGAGACTTCCTCATGGTTTCAACACATAAGGCCGGGCTGTCCTTCAAAGCATGGCATAGTATGGTTGAGGGGTGTCCCTTCCCAGTTGCATGACCATGGCAAGTCATTTCTGTCAAGTGGGAAGAATGAATTATTTCCCTTCTCAGTCAGCATCTCCTTTCCCAGGGTGGTGTGAGCTATGTAAGATATAAACCTGAGGACTGCAGTGCTGCTCCACCACCGTGGTCATCATACTTGCCCTTCCTCCAGCACAAGGGTTTGGCCCAAGGGCTCCCTGGTGTGAGTGAACATTTCACCCTTGGTGGGCACAAGTCAGAACTGCTCTAACTCTGTAGCTCTGAGAAATAATTATCTGCTTTGCTCAATTATGAAACCAAACAGATACTCCAGTTAATGTTTGGAACAAAAGCCTTGTTTGGAGGTCCTTTGGTGTCTTTCCTTGCAGAAGGGAACGGCTCTCTAACTGACTTTCAGACAGTACCCATTCTACACATACCTGGACTCTGTTGTCAACACTAAGAGAATGAGCCTGCATTCCTCTAGGCAAGCAAGAATCCTAAAGGTGATACAGTCCAAAGGAAGAGGCAGGGGGCAATGGAGCCTAGAGCTGGAGTTCCCCTGAGCTGTCTAGCCTCCCTGCCTGTTTGAGGAAGGAGACTTTGCCCCACCTGCAGCTAAGCAGCTTCCTGCTGCTCTGAGTCATGTCCTGCAAACTCAGAATTATAAGATTGTTTTGTAGTTACAAAGATAAAAATGGTTATGCCTCCTTGAAGGCATTTTTTTTTCTACTGATATTCTTTTTCTGAAATAGACATTTTGCCTACTGGCTTTTCATTCTGAAAACAAAAGCTGAAAGAAAAACAAGGTCTTTGATTATAATCTGGAATTTGTAAATATTCAAACTTTGAATAAATTCTCTCTTCACAGTATAATTAATGGATTTGCCTTACCACTAAAAGAAGAGCACAAGATTTTCTTATTGAAGGTGTTACTACCTTTGCACAAAGTGAAATCCCTGAGTGTCTACCATCCCCAGGTAAGGGGCTGAGCAGCACAGCACCGGCATCCTCACGGGATGAGACTCGAGTGCAGAATCCAGCTGCTCACCAAAATGTCTTCCTCTCACATTGCTGTACTGGCAGTATGAGCAAGGTTCTGGAGATAATAGAAATAATAAAGAGGTGCAGAGAGATTCCTCCTCAGAAGTTGAGGAAAACCTGTAGAATATAGAATTGTACTAATGGTTTGAGCGTAGAGAAGAGAGGGGCAGACTCTGAAAGGAGTCACAGGTGACTTCTGGAAGAAAGCTTTCTGCAGTGTGATCTAGAACCTAGTACCTTAGCGACAAGAGCCAAAACTGCAGCAATCTAACTAGTTATACTGGAAAACTGGTGAGTGGTTCCTGACAGGTTAATTAGCTGTACTTCCCTAGGAGATTTCGACCTTCACTCTTCTGTAGACAGAAAGAAATTGAGCTATGCTAATTGCAGCTCTGAAGGCTTAGGCAGCTCCCTTCAGCAGCAGTCCATGGTTCCTTTACTCCTGGCTGTCATGGGGCCTGGCACTGAGCAGGCCACTGCCAGATTCAGAGCGCACAGGCCCTGTTCTGCATTACAGAAGCTATGTCTTTTAACTGATTCATTGACATCAACTTTCTGGGAAATACTGATTGCTATCAACTGGTAATATTTTTTATAACTGGTTACTTTGTTATCATACTAATTGTTGTACAAAAAGAACCTAATAGTTCAGAGATTTAAGATTTTGATTTGTTTTTTTGCAGCTGTTAGATTACTTGTTCATTCTGATCTCCAAAAGGAGCACAAGAAAAATCCCCATCACACGAGGGGACTTGGTGGTCATTAGTCTGAAAGGTGTATCATGATTTTTTTTTTCTTTGCCACCAGTTAATGAGGCAAGAATTGCCTATTGAGTGTCAGTCCTGGGATTCTCACTGAATGCCCCCTCTCAGAGCCTCCTTGGGGCCTTTGGGGTGAGTGACACACCTGGGACAGAACCTCAGCCACATCAGCCCTTGTCTTGCCAGAGAAAGGTGTTTAATGATGATTCTAGAAGGAATGCAGCATTTCCATGTTGAGGTGAAATATTAATGCTTTCTCCCATCACTTTGCAGCTGGCATACTGTGTTGTGCAGTTTTTGGAGAAGGACAGCACCCTCACTGAGCCAGTAAGTGTGCCCTCTGCAGCCTTGACTGTGGCTGAGCCTCTTCTCAGATGTGTGCATTTTCCTGAGTGAATATTGTGACCCATCTGCTTCTGCACGTTACTGTGCAGGCAGCTTTCCATCCTCAGTTGCAGTAGTGATCCACAGGCTGATCTCCATCCTAAGTCAGAGGTTTGCAGAGAGTAGTTTCATTGCAGGATGCTTTAGTTCCTACAGTGCTGATTCTAGGTGATGAGCTACCCTTGTTCCATACTGTGCTTCCCTCCTTGGAACCCAGAGCTCCTGAGTGGGCATAGTCACCACCCATGTGCACTTCACTCCTTCACTTCTCAGTTTGATTTTTTGGGGTTTTTTTTTGTTTGTTTGTTCTTTTGTTTTGTTTTTGCAGTACTGGGGCTTGAACTCAGGGCCTCACGCTTCCTGGGTAGGTGCTCTGACACTTGAGCCACTCCACCAGCCCCTACTTCTTAGTTTGAGGCATGTTCACTGACTAGGGGCATTGGAGGAGGGTGTGACATGCTGGTTTCCTGAAGAGGTTTTATCATCCTGACAGCTCCTTCCAGGGTCCAGTCCAACTGTTTTACCATTGTTGAATCACAAGTCAATGTGAGGTTGCTATCTTTCAGTTTTGGATTTCTAATTTTCTTACCATTTTAGCCTTATTAAAAATATAAAAGGATTTTGTAGCCAATATTAACAAACTCAGGTATGTCAGGTGACAATTTAAGCATTTGAGTATACTTTTTCCAGCTTTATTTAGTTATAATTCTCATTCTATACAGTTCATCCATTTAAAGTGTGCAGTTCAGTGGATTTGGGTATATGTTAAGTTGTGATTATATGTGTGTATATACATCTAAAGCATAAAGTTTGGCTTTTTAACCATTTTAAGTATGCAGTTCAGTGATGTTAATTACATTCACAATGTCGTGCAACCATTACCAGGGTCTGTTTCCAAAATTTTGTCATCATCCCAAACAGAAACTCTGTACCTATTAAATAGTAACTTCCCCCATCACCCACCCCAGCATCTGCTACCCTGTAATCTACTTGCTGTCTCTGGATTAACTATTCTAGTTATCTCATAAAAGTGGAATTGTACAATATTTTTCCTTTCATGCCTGCCTTTTTTTCACTTAGCATATCTTGCAAGCTTCATCCATGTTGTATCAGAGCTTCATTCCTTATTATGGCCAAATAATCCACTCTATGGATAGAACACATTTTGATTGTCTGTCCATCAGTGAGCAGTTGGGTTATTCCCATCCTTGGCTGTTGGAAATAAAGCTGCTGTAAATGCAGGTGCACTAATAGCTATTCAAGTCTCTCTCAGTCCCTTAGGTTGTCGCCCCAGGTGTGAATTGCTGAATTCTATGGTAATTGTATGTTTGGCTTTTTAAGGATACATCATACTACTTTCAGGCCACTGAACCATTTTTCATTTACACAGGGGCTGTGGAACACAGTATACAGAGGTTCGCGTTTCTCTTCATCCTCACCAGTGCTCATTTCCCCCTCCCCTCCTTTATTATAGCCATCCTAAGGCATGTCAAATGTTGTTGTGATTTATTTTTGTTTTGGTGTTTTGGCTTTTTGAGACAGGGTCTTAATTATGTAGTCCAGGCTGGCCCTCTTGCCTCAGCTTTCCGAGTCCTGGGATTACAGGTATAAGCCACCGTGCCTGGCATCCTGTTGTGACTCTGATTGGCATTTCCCTAATAGATTCTGACTTCCTTTTCATATGCTTGTTAGCCATTTGTATATCTTCTGTAGAGAAATAGTAGTTCCAATGTATTACTGTAAAGTAGGCTATTTTTCATTGAGTAACAAAATTAAGAAGTGTTAGGTACCAGTTTAAACGTTTGAATCCTCTTTTTAAAAGTTACTGTTAGGGTGGTGCACACCTGTAATCCCAGCACTAGAGAGGCTTAGGTAGTAAGATTTCGAATTCAAGGCCTGCCTGCCTGAACTTTTGAGTTCAAGGCCTGGGCTACATAGCCTGACCCCTGTCTAGAAAGAAAGTCAGAAAGGAAGGGAGGGGGAGGAAACCACCCTTTTTGTATTCAAAAGTCAAAGGGAAAGAAAGATATATGGAAGAAGAGAAAAAGTATGCAAAGTTTTGTCTTACATTTTTCTTTGTGCATATTTCTCATACTCTGTAGTGGCTAAAAAACTCACCAATGTCACATGTGTTTACCACAAACTGAGGCTCCTCCCACCCACAGCCCCTTTGCCCACCTGGCTCTCCCCCGTTTCCCTCCCACTTGAGAGTCATGTGAAAGCCAATGAAGTTTTTAAGTGTTTTCAGTCCCCCACTGATACCCTAATAGTAAAGCTCGAGTAACTTTGCAAGATGAGAGCTTGATTGCACTTGTCTAGAAGAAAGAGATGGCATGCGCTTTGCCCGTAAATAGCAATGCATGCTGAGCTCTGGCTTGGCCCCAGCACAAACACACTGCAAACCCCTCCCAGACCCTCTCCTAGGACCACTGTGTGCGGTCCTTCCTGCTGATGGGCAGCGTGATGGGGCTCTCCTGGCTACAGAAAACAGAGCTCATTTTCTGTCATTAAAACATTCAGACCCTGAACATCATAAATTTCTTCCTCTGAAATTCACATTGTATGAAGACCCAAAGGCCGTTTTGTCTGACTTCAGCAGAGAATGCTTATTAATAAAATCCAAGTGTGGACATTGGTGTTTATATGCGCCTGTAGGGGCAAATCAGTGCTTTCTAAAGTGTGAGCTATGTAGAAGACTGCAGTTTTACATTTGTTACCTGCTTGTAACCTGCGATTAATGTTTTCTACTTCTGCACATTGTATGCCGTGCTCTAAAGCATTCTGGGCCAGACCCCGGTGGCTCACGTCTATAATCCCAGCTACTCAGGAGGCAGAAATCAGGAAGATCATGGTTTGAAGCCAGCCCTGGCAAACTGTTCTTGGGACCCTATCTTGAAACAACTCTTCACACAAAAAAGGAACTGGCAGAGTGGCTCAAAGTGAAGGCCCTGAGTTCAAGCCCCAGTACCATAAAAAAAAAAAAAAGCATTCTGGGCGATTACTATTGCTGTCAGGATAGAGCTCAGCAGAGAGCCTACAGACAAAATTGTCTGTCTCTGATGGAGTTTCATTGCATGGTCTGGTACCAGCTCTTCTTCTTCCCGGGTGCTCCAGGACAGGGGACTCCCCGGGGTTCGCCACCTGCCAGGGCCCAGGCAGGGTGAACTTCCATGGGAAGGTCAGCACCAGGAGCTCCAGCCAACTGGATGGCCCTGCTTGCTCAGGATTAGCGTATCACCGCAGACACCTCTTCTGCAGAGTCCTGCCACACTCAGATGTAGCCAGACACCTAATTAGATGTTGATGACAGTTGTTCCAAAGAGCATGAACCTGATTCAGAAATGAAAGAGCTGAGTCAATGGCGCTGTACATGTCACCAATCAACACATTTCTTGCTCCTAATAAAATTCCACCTGAAAATGAAAACGACACGTGGATTTATGAAGTGATTTATGTCTGCTTTTTTTTTTTTTTTTTTTTTTTTCTTTTTGGTTGGTACTGGAGGTTGAGCTCAGGGCCTGTTCTTGCTAGGCAGGCTCTCTACCACTTGAGCCATGACCCCAGCCTATTTTTGCTTTGGTTATTTTTGAGATAGGTGTTTGCTTTTTGTACAGACTGGCCTGGACTGTGGTCCTCTTATTTATACTTCCTGTGTAGCTGGGATTGCAGGTGTGCCCCACCACACCCAACTTTTTCTGTTGAGATGGGATTTTACGAACTTTTTTGCCCAGGCCAGCCTTGAACAACAATCCTCCAGATCTCCCAACCTCCCAAGTAGCTAGGATTACAAGTATGAGCCACCACACCCTGCTGTCTCTGCTGTATTCTTAATGGTGGTTCCAATTCATTGAGTGGCACTCAGTAAGTATCTCTTAAGTAATGTTGAGCTAAAAGGAGAGAAATCACTAAATGATGCAGTTTTTTAAATAATACTTTTCAAAGACAAATTCCCATCTTGTTTTTTACCATTGTAATGATGAAAAGGCTGGATTGCTAAGCAGGGAGTTGGTATGTTCTGCCGAGGTGAAGTGACTAATGGATGAAAACAGCCAGCCAGTTCCAAGGGCTGTTCCATGCACAGTGGCTCCTCAGCAGTCCTGACCCAGTCTCAGGAGCTGGAACAATATCCTCCCATATTGCGTAACCAGGCCTTACTGCTGCTTCAAAGTGACCGATTGCCCTTGTGCACTGTGTGTGCAAATGTGTGTGTGAAAGTGCTTATTTGTGCTTTCATATGATTGCCTGTTTGGGGTCATTGTACTTTTTAGAACTAAGATAGCTAAACTCTAAAAGTATTTATCTGCATTGAGTCAAATCAAGTATATTCTGCTGATCTGATTGTGGTAGGACACAGGAACCACAGGAACATAGAAAGAAAGGGTGGGGTAGAAACTTTTGTAGCCGTCTGACTTGGCCAAGGAGTGTACCATGTAGTATCACAGTCTGGTTGCTGCAGCTCTTGTGGCCCTGGCAGCACAGTCACTAAGCATGTGGCTTCAGCTAAGGCCACTGCCATGTGCGCCCCTCAGTGCTGTAACTCACACCCTTGGGTGTGCAGAGCCAGTATGCACCTGGCCTAGGCCCAACATCCAGGATTGGTGTGAGTCAACATGGCTTTTGTTCACAATACTATTTTTGGTGTATTTTAACACAGTTACACAGTTGTAAACACTATATACACATAGATATTTTGTATAAATACATGCATGTGATCAGTTAATCTGAGAAATGCATGGTGCATATGTTGCCAGCAATTCCAGAACTGGCTCTTTTCACACATGCGTGGTTTCCTGTGCTCTGGGTGCTCTCCACTGCTCTTGTTCTCTAAATTTTCCAACTGCTTCTTTTTTTCTTTTTTTTTTTTTCTGTTATTAAAGGAACTGACTACTGAAATGATGGTTGATCAGAGTGGGTCACATAAATTAAAACTGTGATTCTGAAGTATATAAAAGTGGGCCTATTTAATTATAAGAAGACATGTGCTAATTACTGAACCTTTGACCCTTCCACAAGGAGGGCAGCACCATCTGTCTCATTTTGTTGCTTTGCCCTAATGAAAACACACACCCTCCCTCACAGAAGTCGGGACCTCCTGGACGTCACTTCCTGTGTCATCTCTTTGTAGGTGGTAATGGCACTTCTCAAATACTGGCCAAAGACTCATAGTCCAAAAGAAGTAATGTTCTTAAATGAATTAGAAGAAATTTTAGATGTAATTGAACCATCAGAATTTGTGAAGATCATGGAGCCTCTTTTCCGGCAGTTAGCCAAATGCGTTTCCAGCCCACACTTCCAGGTATGTGGTTTGGGGAAGAGCATTAGGTTATTTCAGAATGTTCATTTGTAAATAAAAGTTTTCAGTGTACAGCTGGTTGTGATGTGTTTCTCATGTAGTTTAAAGGTAAAATTCAAGTGTTTGAATTTAATTCAAAATAAGATATTAAAACTTTAATTCTGTAAAATATAGTTTATTTTCTTGTCTCATCACTAAAAATGTTCTTCTCAACAAGACTGATAGAAGCAGCTTCTCTACAGAGCTCTTAGTTGAAGCCCAGTGGGCTTCCAGACCCGCACAACCTTGTTTCTCACAAGTGAATTATCACTATTGTAGATAATGTGATGATAAAAACCTCTAGCCTTTACATTCTCTCCCTTTATAAGTGCTCCATTTCCGACATCATATAAATCTGACATCATATAAAACTTTATATTTTCTAGCCAAGTGTGCTGTCACACGCCTGTAATCTCAGCACTCCAGAGCCTAAGGCAGTAGGATCATGAGTTCCTAGGATTATGAGTTCCAGGCAGCCTAGGCTACATAGTGAGATCCTGTCTCAAAAACAAATGCATGTATATGTATGTATGTACATGTATATATACACGTGATGTGTTTTATATATAATGCATAATACATAAGCCACATTCCCATCCAGGAGAGTGCTACTCATCACTCACTAACCACCGTCTCCCTCTTCTCCCTCTCACAACCTGCCAAGCTGGCCTTGGCTCTCCTCCTCTCCAGGACTGCTCCCTGGCATGTCCAGCCCCTCTGCCTCCCACTATGACCTACTAGCACCCATCCTTTTGTGTCACTGAAAGATATGTACAATGCATCCATCACCAACAAGGTAAAGATGTAGGCACACATGAGCAAGGCTTCGGCTCCCAGGTAGTGGCAGCCCAGGAAGCTAGGACAGTTGAGCTGGCACGCAGCTGAGCACCAAAGGCTCCGTGGAGGGCCATGGGCCTCGAGAGAACCCTCCACCTGGAGCCTTTCAAGGCGATTATAAAAGAGGTCCTGCAACCAACAACACTGAGACAAAAAAGCACAGCAAGTGACAGAAAGACAAGTTCTGTGTATGGAGTGTGTGGGCATTCAGCGGTGGGGAGGGCAGGTGTGGGGAGGGCAGCTGGCCCTCCTTACTTTTTGTCTCAGAGGCTCCTCGTACATGGCCCAGATCAGCACAAAATACATTCCAAAATCTTCAGAATCTTTCAGAAATAGACGCATGTGGCCAGCTCATTCTTCATTTGTTTTTTTGGTTTTTCTTTTTTTGTTTTTTGTTTTTTTGCAGTACTGAGGTTTGAACTCGGGGCCTTTACTTCACCAGCCCATTTTTGTGGTAGAGTTTTTTTGAGCTAGTGTCTTGGGAACTGTTTGCCTGGACTGACTGCAAACCAATCCTCCTGATCTCTGCCTCCTGAGTGACTAGGATTACAGGGATGAGCCACTGGCACCCAGCTAGATATTTTTCTATTAAAATTTTTGCTAGTGTTAAAAACTAAAGCAGAATTTAAAATTCAAGCCACCAAGCATCTTAGACTTCTAAGTCAGGCTTAAAATATTACCTCTAAATATAATTATGGATAGATAGATAGATGCTTTTTAAATACAGTTTTAAATACAAGTTGGTGGCACACACCTGTAATATCACACTTGGGAGGCTGAAGCAGGAAGATTGTGAGGTCAAGGGCAACATATGTTGCCAGCCTTGGCAACATAGCAAGACCCAGTCTCAAAACAACAACAACAAAACAAGTTATTGACCATTTAAATAAGAAATATCTGTCAGTTAGGATGATGCATGCCTATAATCCCAGCGCTTGGAAGACTGGGGCAAGAAGATTACAAGTTAGAGTCTGGCTGGATTACATAGCAAGGTCCAGTCTCAAAAAAAAAAAAACTATCCTGGAAGCTGTTAATGTCATTCTTACTCTTTTTTTTTTTTTTTTTGCCCTCCCTTATCCCCTCTTCCCCCCTTCTTAGAACAATTTGGGCAGGTTTCATTTTTCCATTTTCATACATGAATACAAAATATGTCTACCATGTCTGCCCTCATTCACCCTCTCCTTATGCTCTCCCCCCTCGCACTAATACCCACCCCTAGAAAAGACCTGTTTTATTTTCCTGTCTTTCATTTTTTAAGTGTATATTGGTAGCTTTTTTATTAGTATATGATAGTTACACAGGGTATTTCATTGTGACATTTCCATATATACATATATTATACGCCAAATTGGTTATTCCCCTCCATTGTTCTCCCTCCTGCCCTATTCCCCTTCTTAAAATAGTTTCAGCAGGTTTCAATGTTCCATATTCATACATACATAGAATATACATCAATCATATTCACCCTCCTTAACCCTCCTTATTTACCATTCTTATTCTTTTTAATATTCTGTATATGCCCTTCTCTCCACACTCAGTGAATTTGCCCCTATCCTGCATCCCCACCCCCGACTTGAGAAACCATCACTGATTTCTGAGCCCATCACAACCTCACAACCTCCTCTGCCATTCTCCCTGCCTCAGCCTACCCCACCGCACTGTGATCTTGGAATCTTTACGTTTCTAGAGGTAGAAATGTCACCTCGCACCCTCCTCTGTGCTGAGCTTTTGAGGGCTGCTGCAGGCTGTGCCCTGTAGATGTGGTGTTGATGTGTGATTATGTGGAGGGGAAGCAGCTCTGCCTAGGGGAGTGAGTGTTGAGAAGCCCTGGACACATGTCTTGGTGCCGTGTGACCTCACAGATGGTTCTGCAGAATGTGTAGGTGTGCCTGTTGACTGGAGAGACACAGCAAGAAGGGAGGAAGCATGAACAGTCGCAGGTCTAGGTGGAGGGATGTGTGTGCTCATACTAGTTTTTCAGCTTTCTGTGTTGGGAGCTTGTAGTAATTAATATGGAGGAGTCCTCCCACAGCTTCCCATCTCATCCAGTAAGGATGGGGCTGCAGCTACATGGGCTCAGCTCTTCCCATCCCCCTTCCTGGCTGCTCACCTGCTGTCCCGGTGGCTCTCAGCCTCTCTCCTCCTCCATGACCTGGCTCAAATATCACCTGTAACTCTAAGACCCCAGCAACCTCCTCCTTCTGCCTCTGGCTGTCATCATTTCTAGTAAATGAAAAACTGCTCATCCTTCCCTAACCCAACAGAAGGTAAGCTCCTGGCAGGCAAGCACTTCTGCCTCTCTCTGTTCAGTGCTGCGTGCTCAGGTGCTGAGTGTGCCTGGCACACACTAAATACCTAGTAACATAGGGCAGGTGGGGGGTGAATGGGTGAGCAGGTAAACGGGTGGATGACGGATGGGTGGGTGGATATTTACAGATTTAATGGTGAAGATATTTGCCTAATATCTTTGAACGTGATCACTAACAGTATTTGTCACCTCGTGTCTTTCAGGTGGCAGAACGAGCACTGTATTACTGGAACAACGAATACATCATGAGTTTAATCAGTGACAATGCAGCAAAGATCCTGCCTATCATGTTTCCGTCCTTGTACCGCAACTCAAAGACCCATTGGAACAAGTAAGAAAGAATGGGCCAACCTCTTCCCTAGCCATTTTTTAATGTCGCTCATCTAACTGCTGCGGTTAGAATGAAAATCCAAATTTCATTCAGCTCAAAACCTTAACGTCAGGGTCAGTTTCTTTGTCATCTTTAAGTTAAGCAGCAGTATGGATTATATCTGTTTCAAGCCAACACAGAAGCCCTTTTGTGTGTACCCCCTCCCTGCTGCTTTCAGTAGCAGCACCATGCAAGCCTCTCCAGAGTGCCCCAGAGGAGCTGGGAGTTAGCAAAAAGCTCCTGGGATTAATCCTGGCAGGAGCACAGTGACTACTCCCTGATTCTCAAGTGCTCCCTCAATCCCTGCTGCCCCCCTCCAAGCCCCTCTGTGGGCCTGCAAGGCCAGCTTGCGGTGCCGTGAGCACTACCTGGCGAGTAAGGGAAGAGCAGGTGACGTAAACAGCCCAAGAAACAGAGAGTGTTCACTTCTCTCTTTCATTTTGTTTAATGAAGATGAAGAAACCAGTTCACACCCAGTCATGGCTTTCTGAGACCGGAAAGGAAACTGTCCACATGGTGCTATATTACGTCTAATGCTGAACTCATGTGATTCAAATAAATAAGGACACCAGGGTTTTTCTTCCTTTGTTTTCTTTCTTTCCTTTGTGCATTAGCATCATAAATCCAAATGTAAAGTGGGAACAGCAGAGCTGTGGTATCTGGGCCTCTCCCTTGTCCTACAGATAGGAAAGTGAGACCACAAGATGCTGAGCTCTCTGCTCTGCAGTCCCAAAGCTGGTTAGCAGCACCTGGCTTCAGCAGGTCTCCTGGCCCACAGTGTCCATCACGCAGTACCCCTGCTGTCCTGCTGCACTTTTGCGTGGGCCACCCTGCTTTCTTCCCAGAATAAAGTCGCAGGGCAGCAGCCTGTGTTTTCCTGCCTGGCTCTGAAGCACTAAGACAGACCTCAGGCATAGGCCATGAACTCAGAGTCCCCTGAGCATGGGCCACCAGGAGGTGGACAGAAAACAGACAGAGCAAAGTCCAGCAGAGTTGGCTCACATCTTTGCCCCACTGCTAACTGGCTGTTGGAACTGGGCAAGGTGGATCTCTGTGTTTCCTCATCTGAAAAAAATGAGAAAATACAGGCATTCACCAAATTGCTTTGTTGTGTTGATTAAAGAGTGTTAATATATAGCATGCTTTGCTTTGCAGCCACCTTGCCCTGGCTTGAAGCTTAATTAAAATAACACTAATGTAATAAATTTGCAGGCTTCCTGTAAACTTCCTGCACTGGCTTTATAACCCCAGGTCTAGCCAAGATGTCAGCAGCAGTGGGAGTCTGCTGTGGCCAGACAGTAGTGGTCGTGATTAGCAAATCGACCGTCAGCAGTTTCTCCTTGGAAACATTCAGGTGATGACAAAGGCCACACTCAGCCACACTCCCCATGTAGTTCAGTGTGTGTGTGGCCTAATGGGAGTGCACAGTTGGCACCTAACTTGAAGCTCCTGCAAGGAAAGTGTGCTCCATTGTTTCCTACCTATACTTTGTGCTTCATTATAAAGTGGATTACACAGTAGTTAGGATTTGGTTTGGTTTGTTTACACTATTGCTCAGAGTGACATGGGCTGACCAGGCTCTGCTCGGCAGTTTTCTGCTGCTCTCTCTTGGGTGTGTATGGGTGGCTGCAACCAGATGGCAGCTTAGACTCAGAACAACTGGGCCACTCTACTTGACATTATTTTGGTTGGGGGCGGGGAGGGGTGGATTTTGCAATGTTGGTAGTGAAACCCAGGACCTTGTGCATGCTAGGCAAGTGTTCCACCACTGATTATAGCCAGCCCCCCAACCCCTGGCATTAAAATTAATTTTTCTGTCTTAGTGAATAAGATTGAAAGGGAAATGACATTTCAGGGACTATAATTTTTCTTAATTGTATTTGTTCAAGTTTCAAAACATTTGTTCAGTTTCAAAGCAAGATGGCCTTTGACTGCTGTTAGCCAGGAGACCTGACTTCAGCCCACTGAACCATGTGGCTAACTCTAAGGAAACAGAGACTGGGCTAAAACCAGCAGGCTTTCCATGCTAAGTCTAGGAGGCTTGTGGGATGTGGGACTGTTGAACTGCGAAGAGCCTGAGAAGTTTGGAGAAAGGTGATCCAGTATGGAGTTTCACTGTGACATCTCCTCTGCAGGACGATACACGGCCTGATATACAATGCTCTGAAGCTCTTCATGGAAATGAACCAGAAGCTCTTTGATGACTGCACCCAGCAGTTCAAAGCAGAGAAGCTCAAGTAAGTCCCTGCCTGCTCAGGTGGCTGTACTAGGGTGTTTCTCCCTTAGCCCTGAATAGACCTCCTCCACTGTTTTGTTCTCAAAAGTTACTCCTCATTTTAGAGCAAGGCCAATCCTCTCACACTTGGAAAGCAAATTGAAACTTCATAATGACCTATTGTCAAAGAGCATGTGTTTACAGTCAGCTTTCCTCGCCCTTCTATTACTAGTTTAGTTATCTTTACCAAGTGTGTGTGTGGTCAGGAAGTTAGCCTTCAGGAAGGTTCGTTTTCTTAGGAGACACATAAAGGCTGTCATGGTGGTAATTTATCATATTTACAAGGAGGAATTTGAATTGTATCCTAAAAGGCTTATGTGAAAGAGCAAGATCTGAATTGCAACATAGCTTTATTCTGATGGAACACTCTCCATAAACTCAGGAATCCAGTCTGTCTTTGGAAAAATCAAAGTCCTAATCAGGGTCCTGCTTTTGTGCATTTGAGGACTTCAGAGCCCACAGGTGACAAGGCACTCTGCTCCTAGGCTGGCATATAATCATGTGATTAATTACGTATCAAAAGTCAGTACTCAGAGACTGGAGGAGTGACTCAAGTGGACGAGCACCTGCCTAGCAAGTGTGAAGCCCTGAGTTCAAACTCCAGTCCCACCAAAACAAAATGTCAAAAGTCACTCTTCAACTGGTCATGGTGGCTCATACCTCTAATCCCAGCTACTTGGAAGACATAGGTAAAGATTCATGGTCCAAGGCAGCCCCAGCAAAAAAAGCAAACCCTATCTAAATAATAACCTAAAGCAAAAAGGGCTGGAGGCATGGCTTACATGGTAGAGCACCTGCGTAGCGAGTGCAAGGCCCTGATTTCAGCCACCAAAAACAAAAGTCAATCTTTTTAGTTCAGTGTAGACTCTGCTTGTCACTTAAACCTGGCTAGGGTAAAGCACTCACAAATATGTGAGTGTTACCTGCATACCAGATTTTGTTTCAGATTTTGGTGATGCAACAGTAAATAAAACAAAAATCCTCACCAAACAGGGCTTATAGTACGCATGAAAGGAAGCAAAAAAGAACAAAATACAAATAAGTAAAATAGAGCACGTATGTGACAGTGATACAGACACAGACCAGTCCTTTAAATCCTTGAGCTGCATGTGGAGTCCCTGCTTGCCTCAGGCCAAGTCTTGTGAGGGCACAAGCAAGCTGAACAGTGGGCTCCTGTGGTGCCCTCTCCACTGGTAGACACCACAGTGCTCCAAGAGGGCCGGAAGTACCTGCAGTACATTTGGGGGATTTAGGGTTACAAAAAAAAAAGCCATTGTGGTCCAAGTTCAATGACTTAGTGAAGGTCATGTGCCTAGCAGTGGAATCAGACTACAAGACTTTTCCTTGCACTGTTGGACAGAGCCCGGCTGTGGGCCTCACTCTCCAGTGGGTGTATAAACCCTTTGCCACAGCCCTGGCCTGTGGAGTGGCACCTCACTGAACAGAAGCATAAGATACTTACATGCATAAGATTTTTTGAAGAATTTACACTCTTGTGACATTCTTAGCATTTTTATTTTCAGTCCTTACTGCTAAATCTCGGCCAGTTATTTTGTTTCTCACATCGTGTGCATCTTGAGCAGTAGGAGCACATGGAGTAAGACAAAGTACCAAAGGAAAAGTAGACGATGGTGGTGTGCACCCGTGCTTTATTTACCCCCGATGTTCTCTTGAATGTGACTCATCTCTAATGCAAATGACATTTTACTATTTTTCAGAGAGAAGCTAAAAATGAAAGAGCGAGAAGAAGCATGGGTTAAAATAGAAAATCTAGCCAAAGCGAATCCCCAGGTACTAAAAAACAGAATAACATGAAAATGCTGAGGGCATAATTTGATTGCTTTATGAGACAGGAACATGGCTTCGCCGGGGAAACGGGTTTCACTAACATTGTATATGAAAATGTCTGCAATAAAACACTTTGCAACTCTGTGACCCTCCTCTTGTATAAGTACTTCTTTTGCTCCACAACATTTTTACCACAGAATTAACTTTATTCTCTTCTTGGTAAATAAGATACTAATTTTACGAGTATACTGTGGTAAAAAGAAAATCAAGATACAAGCTCTGCTCCAGGATTATAATTTGTTTTCTCGCTTAGGTGTCATAGATGCTGTAACTCAAACTATGTTTCCCTTTCTTTTTAATGTCAAATTCTAAAAGAAAGGAAATTCGATTTGAAATAGATGAACTATGAAGTTGATATCCTCGTTCCTGAAGTTGGGTTTCTGTGGACTCAGCCTTCCATTGTTAGAAGCTAACACATCCTGCCTTGTCAGCGTTGACCCCTCTCAGTCCCTGGCCGCTGGGTCCCAGCATGCTCCCTCAGGCTCCTACCGAGGGTGAGCTCTTGGGCTGGCTCCAGGACTGCTGTGGTCTGGGAGGCTCTCATAATTGCGGTCCTTCAGGTTGTGTCCTGGTCTAGATGATTTTAGACCGTTACTACTAGGATGTTCTTTCCTGTCCTGTGCACCCATCTCATTATAGCAGGACTACTTAATGCAAATTATTTGTCTGAGTCTGCCAGACCAAGAATTCTCAGGTTTCTCACAACTCCCCAGAGAAGAAAATATTCTACTGAATGATGTGTTTCTTTTGGTGAAAGGTTTACATAAATAATTATTATCTAAGCTGAGATGTCCATTTTTTAATCTTTCTGACATTTAGTAAAAAGCAATGCACAGATATAAAGTTAACAGTATAAATTTTACCTGTATAGCAATGTACTGAACCAGGTGGCCAGCATTTGTCTGACATGCCTTTAAAGAAGTGTTCTTTTAGCATTAGCATCTGTAACATAATTGAAATAGCCAACTATAGGCAGCTGCTTTAATGAGTAGAATATGAGTCGAAAGTGAAGTTGATTTGTTTTTAAATGTGGTGGAGCAGAAGTCTGCAGCAGGTTTAGGTGGTTTGGCTCTGTCTGACCTTGCCCCTGGGGGTCTGCTTTGTTCCAAAGTGCTCTGGACTCAGAGGGTGAAGACAGGTGCCGCACAATGGAGATTAACAGCCTTGAAAAGCATGTGAAGTGTGTGTAAATCAGAGTGTCTAGTTTTATGTACTTTATCTAGAATATAGAAGCCTGTTGAACAAACTGCACAGAATGGTTACAATGAAGAACTGGTTGTTGTATTAACATGCGCAGCCTGGTTTCACTGCTGTGCTGCAGTGAAAGCTCCTTCTGAAATAGACCTTGTTCTCTGTGCCTGAGTTTGCTCCAGTAACTTCCTTTCTTCCTTTTGTCCGCTCTATAAACTGTCTGCGATGATGACATTCTGTGGTGGGTTTGGCATTGGAGCTCTGGTGACCTCCTCCTCACTTTCCTCACTCCCCATCTCTGTGTGGAACCATCTGTGACAGTCCTTGAGAGTCCTGTCTGCATGCCCCCGCCCCGTGGCACAACCTCTCTAAAGTGGAAAATACTTCATGTGTTAATACCTCAGAGCTGGAAATGTGGCCTCAGAACTTGCTTTTCATTCTCCCGAGAGAAAGTCTTTCCTAAATTCCGACCAGTGCTCGCTAGTAAAACAGTCATCTTGGTGATGATACAATTTTTATTTCTGTCACAAACATGGTTGGGTTTTTGAAGCATGGTTTTCTGTCTCAAATCTGCCTTATGGAGAGTTGATTCACTGGTTTCGTTTTGTGAAGGTGGATTCTCAGCAATTCACCGAGTGTTCACTGGCACATGTGGGCGTCTTCCTGACACTTACCCTCTGCTCACAGATGTAGAGTGCACCCTGCAAGCTGTTGGAACGTGGGGAGCTGTGGTACCTCCGGGTTTTATCCCATTTGTCTTAGCGGCTAAGGCAGCTTCATGGGTGTTCCATGTCACACATGGCTTAGTTGTTGGAAACCTAAAACCCTGAAGATTTCTAACGATTTATTTCTCCTAATCTACCAAGAGGTCCTGTGACATCCTGTCACTCATTCCCCTGACTGGTGGGAGTGAAGAGCAGTGCTTCTTGTACAGCACAGTGTGGCCATGGGTGCCCCACACTGCTGTGGAGGTGGCCACCTGGCACAAGCCTGTCTTTAAGTGGGAAACCCTTCCTGCACTGCCTGTGTGTGGCAGTGAGTTTGCCATGAGCCATATGCAGCGTCTTTGTCTCAGCTAGAAAATGCTGGGATTTTTCTTGGAGTAGCCAAATGTTAAAACAATCTGACTCTGAAGGACTCTCTCAGTCTGTATTCAGGGTGGGGCCCAAGGCCAGAGCAGGTCAGAGTAAGGAAACTGTAAGGCTGGCACCAGTAGGGTGTCAGTTTTGAGGGGCTAGGCCAAGTCTGTGTTAGAGGTGATGCTGGAGAGGAAGGAACAGAGATCAGATGTCAGCTTCCCAAAGGCACATAGATGGGAAGGGCCACGTGGCGCAGGCAGACCCATGTGACCTAGGGAGACCCACATGGCCTGGGCACACCCACATCATTGAAAGCTCTCTGGCAGTGGCAGGCACGTGTGCAGGGAAAGCCAGGCCCGGGCCTGGAGGCAGCTCTTCCAGGAATGTGTGGAAAGGAGAATGCTGGGCAGTGCTGTGGGAAGAGGAAGGCCACCAAGGGGACTGGGGACCACTGTTGTTGAAAGGAAGAAAGCCCAGGGTCAATCCATTCTCAAAGGTTGCATTAGAGGAATATGAACAGCCATACTGACCAGGGTTGAGGAGGCACAGGCAAGGGGGTCTGAGGGCCATGATGGACAGAAAGGCACAAGGTCATGGGGTCATGTGCTCCTCAGAAAGGGCTAAAGATTGTCCAAGGCACAGGCAGAGGAAGGGTCCTAAAATGGGCCTCAGAGGGAAAAAACAAGCCAGAAAGGGCTAGTGTCAAGAGACCTGCGGCAAGGTCCTGGGGATGACTGACTGTTTAGGCACAGCATGCCACAAGGGGGCTGGTAGGATAAAGCTAATACATGGCACAGTGTTGAAGGGCACCAGTAGCCCTGGCGGCACCAGTGGTTCCAGAGAAGTGAGAGTAGAAACCACAGCACAATAAGCTGAGCGACTGGGGAGATCCAGAGCTGAACTGTTGTCTGGCTGGAGAGATGCCTTATGGATGGGAGGGCCTCCAGTGAGGCAGACAGAGGAGGCTGTGGCAGGGGATGGAGGAGGACAGTGAGTGACTTGGGGTCAAGTCCCAGCTTCCTTTCCCGCCCCCTAAGACCGTGGGCAAGATGCTCGGCTCCCTAGGTGTTGGGCCTCCCAGAAGCACACGTCACCAGTTTGATCCAGAACAAAGGAAGCACTGAGCCCCAACCTACAGCACACATGCTGACTCCTTTCTTCCCTTTCCCCACCTCACAGAGAGGTCAGACATCAAACATTAACAAGCTGTGCGACCACATCCCTCTGCTTCAGGAACCAGAAGTCAGCAGGGCCAGGAGCCATCTGCAGTTCCAACCTGTGTGATGCCCCAGAGCACAGGAGAGTGGAGACAGGACCCCAAGAGGGAGCAGAGGGCATGGCCGCCGAGTGGAAGGTCCTGACAATAGGAGCGCCAGCCCCTCCTGCAGATCCAGCACAGGCTGACAGGGTGACCGGGGCTGCGCAACTAATCACATTCCTCTAACGCAACCTTTGAGAATGGGTTGACTCTGGGCTTTCTTCCTTTCAACTACAGTGGTCCCCAGTCCCCTCGGTGGCCTTCCTCTTTACACCACACCGCCCAGCATTCTCCTTTCCACACTCTCCTGCAAAGCTGCCTCCAGGCCTAAGCCTGGCTTTCCCTGCACACCTGCCTGCTACTGCCAGAGAGGTTGCATTCATTTTGGTGGCAAGCAGGACACTGGGGATTTGGCAAAAGGATCTAAGCAATTAGGAAAATGCTGAGGAAATGGGATGAAAAGAGAGAAGAGTTGAGGCAGCAACCTCAGAGAGGATCGTGTCATGAGAGTAGAGGGAAGAGAAGCTCGAGGTTGGCAGGCTGTGTGCACACAGCAGGATGAGAGGAGGCCTCCACGTGTGCCCCTTGTTTGGTGGCTCACATAGGGTCAGAATGTCAGAGGCTACAGGCAGGATGTGGGCCAACTTTTCGTCAGACATGGCGGACTCAGAGGGTAGGGAAGTGACCTTAGTGGGCTGGACTGTAGGAAGACAGATGGCTTTCTGGTGTTCAGCAGATAGCAGGGACTACAGGCGGTAGCAGTGGGGGAGTTTGTCTCCCACCAAGTAGGCTTTGTGCAGCAGAGGAAGCTGGGGGGGCGACGGGGAATACATGTGTCCTGCCAGGATGAGGTCCCCCAGTGCAGACCTGAGCGCCTAACAGAGTGACTCCACACTTTGCATTGCAGTACTCAGTGTTTAGTCACGCCAGCACCATGAACGCTCCGGTTGCAATGGAGACAGATGGGCCTCAGTTTGAAGATGCACAGATGCTGAGAAAGACAGTGAGCGACGAGGCTCATCAGGTAAAAGCGCATTGAGCTCAGCGGGAGTGTGCCCGCCCCAGTAGGTAACGTGACACGGCAGTGCCTTCTACCTAAGCCAAAATTAGATGGCCACCTGTTTCGGAAATCTCAGGAAGCATTTTACCTATCTATTGATCTCGGTGATCGAATTACTAGAAACAGTGTTTGATGATTGAGTATGTGTCTGCACTTGTTCTTCATTTAACAGTCATAATCCCAACTCTTAACTGTTCTTTATGTTAACGAGCAAAATCAAAAGCTTTGCAGTAATACCTTGCCACTTGCTTTTCCCTCTGCATCCCTGTGGCTTCCACTCTGGCCCAGAGACATCCCTTTTTAGTTCATAGCAGGTGCTAACATTTCCCACCTAGAACACCAGCAGGGAGCCTTGTCCTTCTGGGCCTAGGACCTCGGTGGCAGGACCTCTGCTCAGATGGCCTGGTGTCCATTGATGTGGAGATTCTGTTTCGATTACCACCAGCCCAAAGAGATCTCTTACTGCGAATTTGGGAACCATAAATAAGCTTCGCAAAGGCCTCCTGCTTGGGTTTGAAGAGCCTTCTTAAAGCTGGGCTTCCCTGAGCATGTTCCCTGTAAACAAATGGAGTCCTAAATGGGCCTGGGGACACCAGCTATGCTGACTCACAAACAACTTTAGCCCCCTTGGGCCAATGACAGAAATGTCCTAAAGACATTGGCATGAAGCTCAGGAATGTAAAAAGGGAAGGGCTGGAAACACCCCAGTGCTGCACACTGTTTACTGGATACAGATGGTTCAGAAGTGCTCCTGTCATTTGAAGTTAAATTAAGTAAACAGGGCTTTTTTTAAAATATTTTTAAAAATCTATATTTAAAAATCTATTATTATGAACAAAGTATAGAATCCAACTGGGTTGGACAAAAAACTACTTCCTAGGTGGGTGCCAGTGGCTCACACCTGTAATTGTAGCTACTTAGGAGACTGAGATTGGGAGGATCACAGTTCAAGGCCAGCCTGGGCAAATAGTTCCTGAGACCACCATCTCCAAAATAACCAGAGCAAAATGGACTGTAGGTATGGCTCAAGTGGTAGTGTCTGCTTTGCAAGTGTGAAGCCCGGAGTTCAAACCTTAGTCCCACCAGAAATAGAAAAAGAAAACAATTTGAGGCATTACCAAGAGTGCACAATCTAGAAAGACTGAGCCCTCTGGCCCCACGGCAGCCCTGAGGCACATGTGACTGCAGAGCACTTGAAATGGGGCAGGTCTGGATCCAGCTATACATCAATGTAAACACACCAGCATTCTAAGAGCTGATCTGAGAGGAGTGAATGCAGGGCATGTCACTCAGAACTTCTGTTACTGGTCACCCCAGTGGGTGACATCATTCCTTCCTCTTTGTTAGCGTCGCTGCTAGAAGAGTTGGAATCCCATGCACCACTGGCCTCTGCCACTGGACAGCTTGCCCCAGGCTCACTCACAGTGCTGTGCTCAACACAGGGCATATGTCATTGTCTTCCTGCCCAGCTGGTCCCCGGACTTCGGTTAAAATAAAAAATAGGCAAATATACTTCTTCACTCATCAAAGCAGACACTTACTGAGTATCAGGAACTAGTTTTTGTTTCCCTTTTTGATTGGCTTGGGTTGGTTTGGGTTTGGGTTTTTTGTGGGGCTGGGGTTTGAACTCAGGGTTTCATGCTTGCAAAGCAGGCATTCAACTCCTTGAGCCACACCTCTAGTCCATTTTTCTCTGGTTATTTTGGAGATGGGGGTCTCAAGAACTGTTTAACCGGGCTGGCCTCGAACAGTAATCCTCCTGATCTCAGCCTCCCAAGGAGCTAGGATTACAGCCAGCTGTGCCCAACTAGAAACTAGTTTTGTCCAACCCAGTTGGATTCTATATTTTGATCATAATAGTTATTCTTAACAATGAATAGGGCTCATCAAAAATACAAAAATCCATGAGTTTTTCTGTATTATATTTATGAGATGTTAAGTTTTCCGCCTTGAAAAGAATTTAAGGTAATTTTTTGGTGGTTTTTTTGTTTGTTTGTTTTTTGTGGCACTGGGTTTGAACTCAGGGCTTCACACTTGCTAGGCAGGCACTCTACCACTTGAGCCACTCTGTCAGTCCTTAAGGTAATCTTTTTGAGTGCCATTTTGATTTTACACTTTGAGTTTGCCAAAGCAGGCCCTCCTGGTCCCTTCGCTGAGTCCCTCAGAAGAAAATCAGAGTGTCATCTATGCTATGGGGAAGCCTTCCTGGGGAGTTGTAACCTCATGTTTCATTTTTTAAGATACTGGGAGCCAGACATGGTAGTACATGCCTGTGACCCCCCCATAACTCCTGTTACTCAGGAAGCAGAGGAGGATCATGGTCCAAGGGCAGCCAGGGCACAAACAGCAGACCCCACCTAAAAAGCAAACTAAAAAGCAAAAGAACCTGGGGTATGGCTTGAGTGGTGCACAGGCCCTGAGTTCAATCACTAGTACCACCAAAAACACACTTGGGCCATACAAAATTAAAAGGAAGTTTATGACTGTAAACCGTTTCTTACATATTCAATATTTGAGATTATGGGGAATTTATTTTTCTTTTTTGGTACCTCATTCAACTTAGGTCAGAATTAAAGCTAGAAAAAACTATAAGCTATACCTAAAATGTAATGAAGCTGTGACGTACTTATGGTTATATCCTGTAGTAGATCAAAAACTTGATCAAGGACACAAACCAAGGCAGTATGGGGGTGCACACCTATAATTCCAGACTCTGGAGGCTGAGGCAGGAGAATCATGAGTTCAAGGCCAGCCTGCGCTACACACTCCCAACTGGTTGCCCCGTCCTCTACCCTTCTTAGGGGTCATGTCCCCTTCCAGGAGGACACTGGGGTAATGGAAGGAAGCAGTCCTGCAGGTGTCTGCTCATCTAGTTGTAAATGGAGGTGTGGACAGGATATCTCTGAGAGAACTCCTGTGGCATGTTTGCTTCCTTGTTTGTGTTTGTGATTCTTGAAATTAGATTATATAACTCTGTAATTGGCAAATTTCTGTGTAATTGGCATTCTTAACAAAATTAGCCCTCCACCTTGCCTTTAGATTTCCGTGGATCATGGTCCTGGGTTGGCAATCTAAATGCCATGGGCACTAGGCGTTCACCACTAGAATCCCAGCAGGCATTTCTTTCTCCTTAAATTAACAAACTCATTCTAAAATTCCTATGGACTGGGAGGGAGGTGCATCTCAAGTTTGAGGCCAGCCGAAGCTACATAACAAGACCCTGTCTCAAAAATAACTACAATCTCTATTGAAATGCAAAGGTCCTAGAGTAGCCAAAACAACTCTGAACAAAACAGAGCTGGTGGAGCAGAAACATTGCCCAGTGTCAGCACTCAGAGATGGCTAGGAATTCATTGAGCCATTTTAATTTAATGGATCCTCAGCCTATCTCAATGTAGAGGTGGACTTGTAGGGCAGTATTTGAAATGATAAACTCTTCTTGATTTGAAAATGTTTGAGGTCATTTTCCTGAAATTCTCACAAAAGCTGTTAATACAGCAAAAAAGGCATGGTGGCGCACGTCTGTAATCCCAGCACTCAGGAGTCTGAGGCAGGAGGACCACAAGTTTGCAGCCAGCCTGGGCTGCAAAGTGAGATCCTGTCTCAAAAAGCAAACAAGCAAAACGAATTGAGAGCTAAAAATTAAGCTTTTGAGAGTTTATCTTACTTGAATATTCTCAGTGCCCTTTCCATTTTATTTTCAGCTATTTTTCCAAGGTGATTCCATGTTTCCTCAAACAGATTTGGGAGTTGGGTCAGGCCAGAGTGAGAGCTAAATGGCGGTCTTTCAGAAGAGTAGGGACTGGAGACTCTCATGCTAAGGAGGCACTTGGTTGGGTTTTTGTGGGAAATTTAACAAAGTATTTACCTGTCAGACCTTCATTTGGATGTCCTTTGAGAAACTTACATAACTCTGTATACTAGAGAATCCAAAGAAATCTAGTAAGTTTCACATGAATGGTATCCACATCAGAGATACTAAAATGTTTACAATTCTCATTTTTGACAGTTGGTCGGGAGAAAAGCAGTGTCAACCATGCAAGTCAGAAAGGTGTAGAGACGGAAAGTGGGCAGCGCAGGTATTCATTCTCAAATGCATAGAGTGTGCTTAAGGCTCCGTACCTACAAAAAGAATTGACAAGTCAGTGTTGTGCACATGAAGTATTTTCCCTTCTCCCATGTCATTCCAGCCTGTGATGGTGTGGTCAAGACGAAGAAATCTGGTTCCTTAACTGTTATTTTAGCCAGCTGGGTTTCATTTGAGATTTTCTTTTCCCATATTACATGTGTAAATGAATAAGCAGACATTTTAATTCCAAGAATAAAAAGAAATTTGGTGCCTTAGAAAGTTTTGATTAGTTCTGCCCCAAATTAATTGGTAAAGTTTGAATTCATGCCCTGATTAGAGAAAAAAAAATGTGCCCAGTCCCGTGCACCCCATCCCCATGTCCTCTTCCCACTGACTGTTGACATTGGCCTGTTGGGCCTGCAGGATGCTACCAGCCAGAGGCTGCTCCTCTGACCAGCGTCTCCTGCAGAGCTGGTAAAGGCCCAGCCTCCCTTGTCCACATGCTGCCAGCAAGTCCCCAAGTGTCACTCACCCAGGACAATGCCTGCATGGTGTCTCATTCATTCCTGCCTTGTTTCTCTTCTTCCCCTGTGGTTTGTAAAGTCACTCTCTGCTTCGTGTGCTCATTTGAAATGCCTAAGCAGAGAGGCCTGCCATGTCCATCAGCTTCCTGGCCTTCTAGAAACTCTGGAGACAAGTTGATTTTCTCAGTTTGCCTTCATTGGTTCCACCTTCAAGGACTTTTTTCTATTGTCTTTCTCTGTGGAGATGCTTCTTCTCTTTGAAGTGCCTGCTTCACCGGTAATAACACATTCATTCCATTTATATAAAAGCTTTGGCTTGGCTTGGCTTTGTTTTGCAGATCCACATACAGTAGGCATAAAATTTAGGGCAGAATTTCACCTCTGAGTTTCTGACGGGTTGAAAGCAAACCTGCTTTGCAAGCTACAGTGCTGTTAGTACTGGGCCTGGTGGTGCTTGCCTGTAAGCCCAGCTCACATACATAAAACAGTGCTCTTACAGGAATGGTCACTGGTGACATTCATCACCTCCCGATGGTGGCTCTAACTCTGCCTCACACTGGTTTTCTCTAGGGGAAACCAAAAGCCCTACCTTTGCCAGGACAGATAAAGAATATTTCTAGAAATAATTCTAAAGTGACATAAACCTTGATGCTATCATTGTCTTCATAGGTAAATTTGCCAAGAATCTAATAAATACTTAGCTCCTGAAGATGTGAACTTTTTATTTTTAACTTAGGCACATCTTTGAATTTTTCCTTAAAGCAAAGCAAGGCTTATTTTACACACTATACCACAGTCAGATATCTCGAAAACTCTGAGAACTTGCTATGCAGGGGTCCTTTTTGCTGTCAAATCACTTTCCTTAATATGTCTTCTTGTTGGGGACACTGAGCAGAAAGGAAAACGATTCTGGTTAAGCAATATTGATCCAAAAAAAGTCGGTCGTTATTTGGCAGTCTTCTGGTGTGCACATTGCACTTGCATGATTTCCGTGCTTCCTCGCTGTATTTCAGAAGACCGGTGTCAATGCAGAGGCCTTCCTTTAAAACTACATTGCTTGTTCTCATTCCTGGAGATGGATGCTTTGGTGTGTAAACACACCCTACAGACTCCCCTTTCTTTGCAGATACCATTGTCTGAATCCTACAAAAATAGGAGTCGCTTAATTTTGAAAATTCCCTAAACTTCAGAAAGAATGGATAGGAAAAATGAGTCTTTTGTTTCTTACTGTTAATATTCAAAATTTTTATGTAAATGATGATGGTTTTTTTATAAGTGCTAGGTTTTTTCTCTCTACATGACCCATTTCATGCCTCTTACTTTAGATACTCTTTTTTTATTTGGTGGAAGTTTTAGCTGTCTTGATGGTTTAAAATCTAGTTTGGATATATTTTTTATTCATTCTATTTATCGCCAAAGAAAATTTCTGCTTTCTGAAATGCTCATGTAATGGACAAAGTTGTAAATGACTTTGGTAGTGTTTTATAAAAGAGGAGGGTATGTATGGGATTCACTGGTGAATTCTACAATCACTACACATTTTAGAAAACCAAATGCCTATATTGTACACAGTTCCTCTTACCAGCCATTAGATTACTTGGAGTAGACAAGATATTTTTTGTGATGACATAAGACATATGTCCTTTCCCTGTGGCCAGTGAAGCCTTTGCATGTAGTTGGTGCACATTTGCCTCCTAATTCTCCTCTAACTTCTGACTCAGAAGTGAGCTCCCTTCTCAGATAGCTTAGTATGTAGCCAACTCCATTGCGTTTTTAATTCCAGGCACAGAAAGATCCGAAGAAGGACCGTCCTCTTGCACGCCGCAAGTCCGAGCTGCCTCAGGACCCCCACACCAAGAAAGCCTTGGAAGCTCACTGCAGAGCCGACGAGCTGCTCTCCCAGGATGGGCGCTAGCGCCAGCTCCGGAGTGCTGCCGGGGGCCGGGCCGGGCATGCCAGTGTCTTCTGGATTCTGTAGAAAATACATACTGTCTGTGCCATACCAACCAGTCACACTCAAGAGTCAAAGCCTCCCTCACCCCATTCTGTAGGCAGTAACACACATCCGCCCAGCTCAAGACTAGGAGTTCAAACAATGGTGGCTTCTCAAACCCTGTGTCCTCACAGCGTTGTCACCTCCCCAGCGTGGCCCTAAGTAAGACTGTCACAAAATCAGAGCTGTAGGAAAGCACCCTGGTCCTCATCCATGTTCTACCCAAATGAAACTTGTGACCCTATAAAATAGGTGGTTGTGGGTAACATCAGTGTTCAAATCTGAGGAACACCTTAGAAAATCTTACCTGGTTTTGAGACTTCACAGCTTTGCGGTTTGTGCGCCATTCTTATGCTGGCAGTTTTCATTTGTTGAATCTCACAGAGATGGCTCTTTGCTCTCACGTCCTAACAGCCCACTGGGAGAGTGACATGACAACCCTCAGCCTCTGGCACCTGCTAAGGTGTTTCTTGCTTTGCCTGTGGCATGTCCACCTTGTCCTACTTCTCTGTCTACCGAAAGCCATATTTCCTAGTCTGTGGGACAGCACCAGGATTCTAGGGGTGAGCTCCTAGAAGAGAGTTATCTTAAAAGAGCTTTCTCTGTCTACCTTGACTGGAATTGGAATTTTTTAATTATGTATTCATATTTTTATTTGCAGAATCAATTTTTTCATCTATTTACACATTGTTGCCCTTCAACAAGACTCTGGAATTGATAAAATTATAGTGTCTAAGAATCCCATATCTGTAGAAAGTTAGAATGAGTTAAAAGCTGCAGCTGCCTTTGGGCATAAAGTAGCAAAAATAACATTGTAGGCCCCAGGCCCTGCACGGCCCTGCCACACTCACGCACGATGAGAAGCGGTCCTTGGAGCGTGGAGGAAGCAGCAGTGAGGGCGGCAGAGAGCATCCGTGTTCTGTGGGAGAGAGCACACACTACCCACTCCAAGGAGAGGGCACTGTCTGAGTTTTCACCAGTCTTCAAATGCTGCTATATATTTCACAGACTTCTTGCATGGATTAAGCTTTTGTTTTAGATGGAATAGCACGAGGAGAAAATCCTTTAAACTTAGTGCTTTGTCTGTTCTTATTTCTCTCAGGGTGGCCAGTATTTTGATTTATTTATCCTGCTTGAAAGCTACTTGACATGTACACTGCTGTTCTGAACAGTGACTAGTTTCCTTTGTCTCTGGCATATAATATAACTTAATGTTAAATGTCTTGATACATAAGAGATAAAATGTGGCTTCTTTTAGGATCTGTTTTTTTAATCGTGGTCTCGGGTATCCATGAAAAGATTGTGAAATCAGACATTGCGCCTGCCCAGGGTCTCCCAACAACACTTGTTTCTCAAGTGGGAGGAAAACAACCTGGGGGGAGTTGGGGCTCCTGTTGAGAGCCAGCACAAGCTCTAAATGAGGTCACCCTGGCTGACAGTGGGCAGGGCCGTCCAGTTGGTGAGAAGAACATTTCCTGAGAAACTTGACAAGTATCTATCCATTTTACCATTATGAAATCTATTATTTAAAAAAAAAAAGTTGAGATGCCTTCTCCTTTTGAGGGAAAAAGGGTGCTTTTTATTGTATAAAGCAGCGTCTTATGTATTTTGATATACCATTGTTTGAACTTCTGTCTTTAGCTGATAGATTCTCAGATATCCCCGATTTGGGGTGTTGGTATGTTGTGAGAGGTTTCTGGAAGACTCTCCTTTGCCCTAGGGGAAAAGCAAGATATCAATGTCCGGGTGATTGTGTAAAGCTCAACGTATAAGAACATCTTTTGGTCTAGGTTTTATTTCTGCTCTTTATTGAAGACAAACATTCACCAATAAGGGAAAAAAAAAAAGTTTTGAGAGAAACTAATTTTCTTTGACAAGAGTATTACTTCATATTTTGGCCTATTAAAGTTTCCCTAGTTAGTACTCGGACTCGCTGTGCTAATTGTTCAACTGATATATTATTATAGACACTGTTTATTCTGCACCAAACCAATTCAGAAGTACCGCATTGACATAAGCCGGTGACTGTTTCTCTTCATGAAGTTCTGTGTTCGGCATCTTCGCTTTTTCCGAAGTGTATCTGTACACCAGAGGTGCCACAGTTCCGAGTGTCTTTTTAGTGTGGCTTTAGTATGGCTTCCTTTTAATATTGTATATACATTGTATCTTTGTTTTATGGTAATAAGTAATAAAAATGTAGACTTCATATTTTGTACAAAATGTCCTATGTACAGAATAAAAAGTTCATAGAAACAACAAAAATAGGTAAGTGCACAATTATTTTTCTTTAGAAAATATCTGTAACTTTATGCTTTAGTGAAATGTTAAGTACCTACATATTTTTTAACATTTTGTAATTCAAAACTTTTTGTTTTGACATTGTTTATGAAGAGAAACTTCATACACTTGCCATTTAATATGCTCTTTTATCTAATTTTAAAGAACTCTTAAAATGGTGTATTATATGGACTAAATAAAGAACATGTGAATTTTACTGCTCATCATGAAACTAAATTTAGCCATGGCATTGGGCAAGCCGGTTCTGACATTCTCCGGTTACTGTTAGGCCGGGAGCCAGCCACTCCAGGGTCTCTGGCTGGAGGACAGGAAGCAGGCATCCATTGTTGCCCACCACCAAGAGCCGGCCATGCCAGCCGTACTCATGCTCTTTAAAGCTACTTTAATGGAAAAGCAACTTTTTATAGACATCTCTTGTTTGGGGGGAGGCAAATGTGAATCAGTACAATTTATAGAAATTGCAGTGAATTTTATGATGTTTTTAAAAAAATCACAAAGATAAATTAAGTGCTTAAACGTGGACACAGTAGAATTGCTGAGAATATGGATTTGGGGTTCTTGTTCACTGACCACCTCCATAGCAGAGAGATCCTTTCCACTCAAGTCCATGGAAACAGGAGCGGAATAAAGTGGCATTTCTCAGTTTTGCAGCACCTGAGCTGCATACCCACAGGTGGGGGGAGGGGTAGTCCCCTTGCCCTGTTTCCTTACAGTCACATGGTCTCTCAGCTGCCTTCTCTGGTGGGAGCCTGGCTGAGTGAGGAGTGGGGCTTCCCTTAGGGTCTTGGGCCTAAGCTCCTGGTGAGTTGGTTGGGTGTTTTGGAGAATCACACGTACCCCGTTTCACTGGGAACCCATGTTAGCTTTGGGCAACAAAGCCCTCTGCACTCTACCTGTCCTCTGCAAGGGCCAGGAGACTATCATATTCCCTCACATCCCACTCCATGGGAGTTCCTGAGGGGACTGACCAAACAGGCATGCTGCCATGGAAGCCCAGCTATGTGCTTCTTGCTGCAGATCGGCAAGGCCTGTGGGCAAAAGGCCACCACTCTGTCTCCTTCCGTGAGAACTGACATCACCCAGTCAGCAGTAATGGCGATGAGAACAAGCCAGGGGCCAGTGTAGGTGCCTCAAGTCCCTTGACTCCCACCATCCACTGCAGTATTTGCTTTGGTTCACAGAGGAGGAGACTGGGGCATACACAGGTTAAGTAGAACCAGGTTTCAACCCATGCAACATGACCACCGGCAGCAGGCCCCACACCAGCCCGTTACAGGTAGAAATTCCCCAGACAGCCCTGTCTTGCACAACAGTGAACACGGATGGCTCTCAGCTCACATCTCAGCTCACCACCATGCCAAGCTGTAGAAGCACCCCAGTGACAGCGAGAAGATGGCTGTGGACTCCAGGGAAAGGCCCCAAGTCTGCCTTCATTGTAGGAAACCTCTAGGCCCCTAAGGTCTAAGAGTGACTTTAGGGAAACAGCCTGAGACAGCATTGAGGGATGGGTGCGGACACAGCAGGGCATGGACGGCGCACTTGACTCCAAGAACCAGGAGAACCTCACAGCATCCAGTCCTGTGGCTTCCCACGTGCTTCAGGAGCTATTGTTTCCTTGTATTTGGGGGTTTTATGGCAGCACTGGGGTTTGAACTCAGGACCTCATGCTTGCTAAGCATGCGCTCTATCACTTGAGCCACTCCACCAGCCCTTTTTTGTGAAGGGTTTCTTGGAGATAGGGTCTCATAAACTATTTACCTTGGCTGGCTTCGAACCACAATCCTCCTGACCTTTGCCTCCTGAGTAGCTAGGATTACAGGCGTGAGCCACTGGGACCCAGCTGCTGTTGTTTCTTTGTAAATTTAAATAATATTTAAACTTGTAAGAAAAGACTCAAAACATTATACCAAATTTTAACACTTTAAAGGCCACACACATTAGCCTGTGTTCTCATCAACTTTTATGTTACTAATATGAGTGTATAAAATTTATCAGACTTTTAGCTCTTATTTAATACGTAGGTATAAATCTTTTACACAAGATTTCATGGGAGAAAAGAAGTGGATTGTACTACCAAAAGTTTCTAATCCACTATCTTTGGATTTTGGGGTGTGTGGTTTTAGAAGGACACAGTCCTAGAAGTGAAGAGACAGGCCCAGACGGATTAGAAGCTAAGTGTCTGGGCCCCACTCTAGCCCACTGCCCCCTCATGCTTGTCAAAGGAGCATTATCTAAATTCCCCACGATTTTCTGGCGGGGTGAGTCAGAAACCAGAATGCATCTTTTCTATCCTCAGAGTTTCCTGATCACATCCAATTTAAGGTCACATTTGCCTGCGTTGCTTTTGTGGCAGTTTTGCAAATACAGTTAAATATAAGCTGCACTGACTTGTACTTATAAACTTTATAAAGGTGTGTGTATTTTTAGAGGATGATGTATCGCAAACCAATTACCAGTCAACCCAAGAGTCCTGACTTGCCTTCTCAGTTCCTATAATAAAAACAGCCAGTACAAGCCGGGCACTGGTGGCTCACACCAGCAATCTTAGCTACTTGGGAGGCTGAGAGCATGAAGATCACAGTTCAAGTCCAGCCCAGGCAAACAGTGTGTTGTGCCCCTGTCTCCAAAATAACCAGAGCAAAAATGGGCTGGAGGTGTGGCTCAAGGGGGCAGAGCACGTGCTTTGCGAGCACAAAGCCAAGTTCAAACAAGGAACCAGGGCAAGGTCCAGGGTAGCATCTGACTGTGTGCACACATCCTGCTGGGAGCATAGCTGTCACGCTCTTGCTCACTCACTCACTCTCATATGGTAAACTCCACAGTCTTGATTTCTGTCTCCAAAATGCATTTCATAGAAAGACACCTGCCTCAAAATAGTCATAGACTTGAGAGCACCTTGAAGCCAAAATCTGCACCCCATTAATTGGAACCAGTGTTGAGCCTTCTGCTCGATCCATTCCTGCAGGATTCTCTCTAGGGCCCCAAGATCCACTCACTGTATTCGGTATTGTGAGCCTAAGGGATAGGCCAGAGAAGGATGTCGCCTTCTAAACAGGAGGTAAGACTGAGGCCTGAGCACAATGTTGAACCAAGATGTTGAGCACCACAGAACCCACAAACTAGAGGCTGGGCTCCAAGCTGCATGAAGCAGCTGGTCCTGAGTTGAAAGCAGGTAGTTGCATAATACATGTTACTAGTGAATGAACTCAGGCCACCTTTTTTGTAATGTCAAGGTCCAGGTGATTCCATGGTGAATTTTTGGCTAAGAAACCTAGAGTTTCCTTCTTTCAGTATAGTTTTGGCTTGGGTTTCAAGAAGACTGGAATAAGTTGGGGGCGTGTCTCAGGTGGTAGAAAGCCTGCCTAGCATATGCAAAGCCCTGAGTTCAAACCCCAGTAAATAAAAATAAGTAAAGGCTGGAATAAAAAAAGAGCCTACTGTGTAGGAATGAGATACTCACTAAGGCTGCGAAGCTGTCCTGAGAGCAGTGCTCCCCAGAAGCCAGATCCACTCCCAAGGCTTTTCGACTCTAGGTAGAAGGGCTGTTGCAAGTTCGTGCACCCTCAAGTTCAGGATTCCCTAAGACTCAGCAGGATGAGTAAAAACTGCTGTACTCATGGTTACAGTTTATGCAGCAATTGAAAGGATACATTAAGATCAAAGGCAGCTGAGCGTGGTGGTGCTTGCCTATAATTCCAGCACTTGGGAAGCTGAGGCAAGAGGATCACGATTTTGAAGCCAGCCTGGGCTACATAGTGAGACCCTGTCTCAAAAAACCAAGGGCTAGAGATGTAGCTCTGTAGCAGAGTACTAGCATCGCAGGCACAAGGCCCTGAGTTCATTGCATATCACCAAGGGAAACCATGGGCAAAGATGCCCTGCCCAGGACAGAAGAGATGGGGCTGAAGCTCAGAGCTGCCAGGTGTCCTCTCCACAGAGATGGCCTGCAGCACTGACTTCTTGGCAACAGAGCATGGCAGCGTGTTTGGAGGACTGTCTGCCTAGGAAGCTCGCCTGTGCCTTGGGGCCTAGAGTTTTTTTGGAGTTTAATTACATATGCATGCCAACCTTAGTGTGCAGCCCCTCCAGGGGTAATACCAGCGCCATGTGGCCCAAGACTCCCACCACAAGTTGTATTAGCATGGAGGATGCAGCCTGGCACAAGACCCCCAAGTGGACAAAGTCACTCTTATCAGGCAAGACATTCCCAAGGCTTAGTCTGTCTGCTTTGGGAGCTCCATGTCAGCATTCCTGGGTGGAGTTAACCCATTGCTGAGACAGTTGCTTGGGATTGGAAGAGACCTTAAGGCCCTGTTATGCAACCCCATGGCTGCATCACCAAGGAGCCCAGAACCACAGAGACCTGTGATATGGACACAGGTTAGGGTAACAACAGTGCCAGGCAGACCTAACCTCCCAACTCCTGGACCCATGCTTGCATCAACATGGTACTGAGGAGAGACCCTAAATTGCTCCACCCGAGTTGACACAGAGTGCAGAATAAGTCTCTAATGACCAGAAGGACATGGATGACACTCACAGGTCCCCACAGCCAG